AAAAAAAAAAAAAAAAAAAAGAAATCCTTTGGCAATCTAAAACAATGATATTTAAGTATTTATAATAATCATTTTAACAACAGCGATAAAAATAGAATTCTAATTAATTTAGTACTTATATAACTTGAACCCTCCACATAACGTAAATTTTAAGGAATTATCACAATTTGTCCTACCCAAAGGTGTGACACCTTTGACAACAGCCACATAGTAAAATTGAATTTCAATTTGTCTACTCCTCCATTCCTCAAGTACACCTGTCAGCAAATTAAAAGGTGATGATTCATATACTCTACGTTAAAATATAGTCTGTGAGCTGTACTCAAAATTCACTTTGAGGTGAAACTGAAAAGAATTCAGACCCAGTAATTTTAGCATCATACTGATTCTTTTATGTAAATTTTGCCACGGTACAAGTTGCACATGGGACTTAAAGTGGTTAATGAGCCTTCAAATAACACCAGAGAGTTGTTAGTTAAGTGAATAAAGTTATGAAATAAAAACCTCTTCAATTTTACATAATTTTAAAATGGATTCTTTCTATCTAGAACATTTTCAAGACATTTACAATATAATCCAAACAAAAGAAAGACACTTACTTTAAGAAATCAAAATTGTGAATGGTATCATTCCAGAAATACTTTACACTATGGTGGGTAAAATAACGAATCTGTAGAACACATACAAATGTTACATCAAAAAGCATATCATCGCTTGTGACTGTAATTTGTTACTTCAATTAATACCTAAATTGTGTTATACATATTTTAGATGCATGTAAATTTACCTCAAGCAATAATAACTGGAAACAGAAAATTGTAAGCTATACATGATAACATAAAATGAAACAATTTTGGGTTTTAACAAAACTTTGACACTAAATCACTATACCTGTTGCAACTGAGTCTGTGGATATTTACTCAACTCATGCCTGTTCTCTTCAGCTGGATTCTCAATTAAGTGAACTGCATGGCCATTAGAAACCTTATTAGCTGTAGATTTTGGACTCAAAAAGGGGTGAGTTTCCAGAGAAAGTAATCGGATTTTTGCGCAAAACCATACTCTGAATTCATCCTTACAAGAGAGAAAGTGAGAGAGGTAATGAGTCAATTATGTATATTATTTAACAGCCTCTATTTCTATTTAATTTCCATTCTTTACATAATATTATTTACTCATCTCTAGTTGAGAAAACATCATTTCCTACTCATTAAATATTAAACTTTTTCATAAAGATGTTTAAATTCAAACATGAAGTGCTTTCTACTGCTCACAATTTTTATGACATATTTCACCAAAAGACACATCAATATTTCATAAAAGATCATGAGTAATTCCTGAATTTATCCATCTGTATGCTGACACTAGATATTAAAACCTCTTATAAAATGCTTCCAATCAGGATTTAAAAAAAAACAAAAAAACCCAAAAAAACCCGAGATGCAGTAGCATCTCTAGCAGTTGGCCTAGTGAATGAGAGATCTTAATTACAGTCCTGAAAGGCCAGTACCTTAAACAGACAAGTATCTAATCTCTCAGGGAATCAAAAGCTTTAAAAGGAAGGGGGTAAATTTGATCATCTTTAAGATTCGTTTAATTACTGTATAATCACTGTAATAATACTCATTTCAAACAGGGATATTTTAGAAATACAAGAATTACCACTCCACATTATATCCTGTATATGTCTATATACAAAGACATTCTTTTACTCCCCAAATAATCAGCCATAAGTAAATATATGGACTTACAGTAGTCCTCAGCAGCACCACTTCACAGTCTTTAACTGCAGCCCTAATACAGGTTGCTTTCACCCGCCACTCGGGCATCCAATAGAGAAGAAGGAGAAGAAATCCGCCAGTGCAAATCACTCCTAATGAAACTATGGCAATCTTCCAGCGACTCAAATTATAACCATAAATCTCCTGCATGGACAGTTGATCACACAATTAATTATCAAATGATATAGCTGATGAATTTCAAAGTTCTTTTTTTTCCAGATGGGTACTATTGCCAAATGAACTATATTTTTCCAATCCGTAATTTACCTTTAAATTCTGTTTTTGACAAGTTCATTGTCAAAGTTATATTTTATGGTTTTATATTTAATACTATGCTTAGTAGTTCTTTCCCACTGACATAGTATATCATATTTAGTATATTTTCCTAGAACTTTTTAAAATTTCATTTTTACATACCTTTTTCATTCTTCCGAAAGTTATTTTGTAATGAGGTAGTGGGTTTTTTAAAATAAATGTTTCACTTTGGAATAATCTTAGGCTTATAAAAAAGTTGCAAAAATATTAGAGTTCCTGTACACTCTTTGTCTAGTCTCCCCTAACGTTAACATCTTAGTACAGTTGTCAAAATCAAAAGATTAACACTACTGCATTAGTATTAATTAAATTCAGTCTTAGGGTTTCACCAGTTTTTCCACTAATGTCTTATTTCTATTCCAGGATATAATTTAGAATATCACACTGCATTTAGATGAGATCAAGATTTTAACTTTTTTTTCCCCCAAGTGATTTGCTAATTGTCCCAATACCACTGTGACTTACGAATTTGACCCATTAACCCAAATTACTTCAAATCTTTCAGGTTACTTCCTCCTGGCCCCAACAAGGGTTGCCAAGTTTAAAACATGAAAATGCAGGGGGTCTAGTTAAATTTAGATTTCAAGTAAACATTAATTTGCTTGTTGAATGCAATATTTGGGACATACTTATACTAAAAATTTATTCCTTGATTATCTGACTTTACATTTCACGGGATCTCTTAGATTTTATCTGACATACCTCTGGCTCCACTCCAACAAAAAATGGAGAAGGTTTTTTATTAAACTGATTTTTAAAATATTTTACAAATCAAATCAGAAATTTTTATTTGGGATTATATTTAAGTATTAGTTAACATAACCTCTTAAAGCACCAAATGCAAAAACATACTGTTCCCTAAGTTTTCGAGAGTTCACAGGTGAAAAAAGAATTATACTAAAACCAACAAATAGAGATATTATATGATCCCAATTCAAAAACACAGGCTGGGAATAGAAGCTCACCGAGTTAGCTGCTGTTTTTTAATTGTACTTTTCTGCTCCTTAGAATAATAAATTGCAGAAATATATTCTTCACACTTCACAGTAAGTAACAAAAACTGCTTACCATTTCATCTTCTTGACCCTGGTTGATAGTCTTCCTCTCCTCTTTGTCCATATCTTCAGTGGTTTAAAGGTCTTGTGCTTCAGAACAGTTGAAGATAACTGATGGAAGAAAAAAAACAAATGTTATTGAATTAATTTTACATCTTAGTAGACTGTACAACTTCATTCTATCAATTGTCTATTATATTATGGAAGTGTTCTTTTAAAATGTGTTGATTAAATTTGAATTCTTCCAATGCAATGATGAACACTTGCTCATGGGAGATATCTTGTTATACATGTATCAAATTTTAATTGACTTTTTTCTTTGTTTTTTTTTTGAGACAGAGTCTTGCTCTGTTGCCCGGGCTACAGTGCCTTGGCGTCAGCCTAGCTCACAGCAACCTCAAACTCCTAGGTTCAAGCCATCCTCCTCCCTCAGCCTCCCAAGTAGCTGGGACTACAGGCATGCGCCACCATGTCCGGCTAATTTTTATATATATATTTTTAGTTGTCCAGATCATTTCTTTCTATTTTTAGTAGAGATGGGGTCTCACTCTTGCTCAGGCTGGTCTCGAACTCCTGACCTTGAGCGATCCACCCGCCTCAGCCTCCCAGAGTGCTAGGATTACAGGCATGAGCCACCGTGACCGGCCTTAATTGACATTTAAGTGGTCACTAAAGTGCTAACTGTTACTAATGACATTTTCAATGGTATGCCAGTTATTGAACCCATATTACTGCCACAAAACTTGGCATATTTCATTAATTTATACTAGTAACAGCATTGATATAGAACAATTTAAATTCTGAGAGGAACTACAAAGAGCATCTTCCTTTTTCATTCCCCAGATTCAGGGAAGTGGCCTAGTTTAACTAACCATCTTAAGCTAAATGTACTTCACACAATTCAGATTTATCCCTTGAAGTATAGTAAAAGAGGTACAGCAACAGCAGTGAGATCAACCCCAAAACCTCTCAGAGATTATTAAATTAATCATGCCACAAATATTTGCTGAGCACCTATTACTTGAATGGCAATCCCTGGCTATGGTAGGTGTACTCCTACTGGAGAGCACACACTCACTCCACCACTCTGATGTCAAGTCTACTAGGCAACCTGCTGATTGCTTCTGACTACCCAGGGAAGCTTATCTAGAGAGAAAATTCATTGAGCCCGCTGGCATATTTTCCCTTTCTTTTTTTTTTCCTGTATTTCAAATATCAGACGCTCAGTTATATTTTACACATTAAAAAGATCTGGGCCGGGCGCAGTGGCTCATGCCTGTAATCCTAGCACTCTGGGAGGCCGAGGCGGGCAAAGTGTTTGAGATCAGGAGTTCGAAACCAGCCGGAGCAAGAGCGAGACACCGTCTCTACTAAAAAATAGAAAGAAATTAATCGGACAACTAAAACTGTATAGAAAAAATTAGCCGGGCATGGTGGCGCATGTCTGTAGTCCCAGCTACTTGGGAGGCTGAGGCAGAAGGATCGCTTGAGCCCAGGAGTTTGAGGTTGCTGTGAGCTAGGCTGATGCCACGGCACTCTAGCCAGGGCAACAGAGCCAGACTCTGTTTCAAAAAAAAAAAAAATAGTAAATTTAGAGTTGTGCAACTATTACTGCAATCCAGTTGCAATGAAAAGCCAGTGAGGCAACATCTTTGAAGTACTGAGAGAAAGAAACGAGAGAATTCCATACCCAGTAAAAATACCTTCCAAAAATGTACGTGAAATAAAAACTTTTTCAGAAATAAAAGCTGAAAAAAATTCTTCATCAGCAAATCCATACTCAAATAAATAAATAAATATAGTTAAAGTCCTTCAGGAAGGAAAAAAAAATAACAGATGGAAATATGGATCTCCTGGGAATGAATGAAGAATATCGGAACTGGTAACTACGTGGGTAAATATACATGACAACAATAGCACAAAGAACAGGGAGAAACGCAAACAATTATAAAGTTCTTATTCAACACACGAAGTGGCTTAGTATCACTTTAAGGTAAACTAAGATAAAGATTCATACTATAAACTCTGAAGTAACCATTAAAATCAAAGACTCATTGCTAAAAAGCCAACAAAGGCTATCAACCAGAATAAAACAATTACCCAAATGATCTAACAACCAAAGCAAAGAAGAAAAAAAGGAAACAAAGAAGCAATGACACAAATAAAACAAATAGCAAGATGGTTGATTTAAACCTAATATCAATAATCACATTAAATATAAGTGGTCTAAAACACAGCAACTAAAAGGCAGAGATTGTGACCGTATTTTTAAAAAGCATAATCTAATGATATGCTGCCCACAGGAAGTGCATTTTAAATATAAAGACAAAGTAAACTAAAAGCAAAAGGAAGATATTTATGTAAACACTATTCAAAATAAAACTGAAGTGACTGTAGTCATTTCACAGGGATAAAGGGTCAAATAATGAAGATGAAAATAACAACCCTAAGCATGTATGTACTTAGATCTTCAAAATATATAAAAGGAAAACAGATAAAACTGAAAGGAGAAAAAGAGAAATTCAGATTTACTGCAGATTTGACTTTAATATTCCTCTCTCAATAACTGGTAGACAAGCAGATTACAAAAACAGGACACAGAAGATCTGAACAAGTGAACATAATGATATTTATAAAAGACTCCACCCAACTATAGCAGAATACACATTCTTTTAACACATACACAGAACATTCATCAAAAAAGAACACATTCTGAGACATAAAAAAATATTCAAGTTATTCAAAGAACATTCTGAACACAATGGAATTAAATTAGAAATCAGTAACAGAAAGGTTAAGTAGAAAATTCTTAAACATTAATATCAGGAACCAAAAATACATACTTCTAAAAAGCCCATGGGTCAAAGAAATCAAAGTGGAAAATATAAAGTAATCTGAACTTAATAAAAATGAAGACATCGGAATTTGTGGGATGTCACTAAAACAGTATTTAGAAGAAAATATATAGCACCAGTATCCAAGAGAAGAAAGATCATGACCTTAGCTTCAACCTTAAGAAAAGTAGAAAAAGAACAGCAAATTACTCCCACACAGTAACCACTAAGGGAAATTGAGTAACCACTAGAGCATTTGTGAGTCCAGAGAAGAAGTCACTGAAATAACAAAGAAAGAAAGAACAGAGAAAAAAGTGAAACTAAAAGCTGGTTCTTAGAAGTCAATAAAATTAATAACTTCTAACTATCCTCATCAAAAAGGGAGAAAGAAAACAAGGAGAAGAGCCATGCAAATTACCAATATCAGGAATAGTATCACTACAGGTTCTGCAAGTATCAGAAAGACAATCAAGGAACTTAATAAACAACTTCACATCAATACACCAACTTTTTTGTGGGTTTGTTGCTTCCAAATAAAAAATTTTTAAATTAAAAAAATCCATCTTTATTGGTTAGGGAATGAACATGAGTTTAATAACTGCTAAAACTGAGTTAAAAGCTAAGTGAATGGATACATGAGAGTCCATTATGCTAATCTTTCTCCATTTTAATATGTACAAATTGTCCGTGAGAGAAAGGTTTAAAAAATAAATAAAATAGTTAGGTGCACTGGCACGCACCTGCAGTCCCAGATACTTAGGAGGCTGAGGTGGGAGGACTGCTTGAGCCTAGGAGTTAAGAGTCTAGCCTGAGCAACA